AGCAAGCATCACTGTGACGGCTGGTGAGGACGTTACGCTCTCTTGCAATGCCACTGGCCAGCCTCTTCCCATCATCCGTTGGTACGACAGCAGAGGACTTCTCACCAACCACCCTTCCCAGCTGCTTCATTCAAAACCACAGAAACCTCCTGAAGCCACATTGGGCAGCAGCGTTACAGGACCCACCTACTTCTCCGTATCTCAAACGGGTTCGAGCTCCTTACGCCTTAGGAACGTGACTCTGGAGCGTGCCGGGGAATACACGTGTGAAGCCATCAACGAGCACGGCTCCGTGGTGTCAAAAGCCTTCCTGACAGTTGGTAAGCTTGAAGCATGACATTGGCTTTCTGATTTAGGTGAGAAATGGTTTGAAATAAGAAATTTCCAGAAGGTAAGTCATGGGGGTATCCTGGGGAAACGAAGCAGAGGAGTTGAAGTTGTCTTCATGGATCAGTTCCTCCCTTCCACCTTAGGCAAAGGAGAAGCAACTGTGTGTATTGCACAGACTTGACATTCTTATCTGTGAGAAAAACTACCCAAAAGTGATGGTTTTTTTTCTTTTTTTATTTCTTGAAATCACTATGAGGAAAAGCCAGTTCTACTAAAAGCAAGCTGGGAAAGAGATCTTTCCTTTCTTCGCCCTGGAATATTATGTGATGTTAATAACGGGTTTAAGCTCCCTCGAGTTCCTTTCACAAGACCTAAAATCCAGTTTTTTAGTGCCATGAAGTGACTTTTCTCTCCGCTCTTTCAGCATCTTGTCTTAATAAATTGAGCTGAATGTCAGTTGGTTTTAAGGTCAGTGGAATTTAATATGTGGCTGTGTCTTTAAAGTTCTTCATTACCACCGGATAAAATTTAAAATTCACATAAATAATTTGAAAAGATGCTTAAAGCTTCACTTAGAGGGAAAAAAAGAGAGAAGAAACCTCAAGAAAGCAATCCTGTCATGTAGTTTTATAAATAAGTTATTGTTGGACCTTGCAGAGTGGAAACACACAATTAAATATCATCCCAGAATTCAGCCTGTGTCAAACAGAAAAATCCCGCTGCTTTGCCTCCCCATTTTATGGCAGCGAGTTGAATTTTTAATGTTTTGTTTATTAACTTTTATCGGTTTCTAATATGTTGTACGAGCTGCTGAGGACGGTGCAGAGGGCGGTTAAAGCATTTGGTTTTGATAGAAAAATCCTTTCTGGGAGCTGTTAGGGTTTTAGAACAGTTCTCAAACGTGCCAAAAGACATGGCTCCAACATTGTGATATTTTAATGATATTTTAATGAAGAATTCACGCCAGGTAACAACTTCTGAAGCACCTGAATGACTTAAACTTTGTTTCCAGTGCATTTCTTTGCTAGTAAGATCAACTTAAACAGCTCTCAGCAACTTATTCCTCTAATTTACCTCATGCAAGCACACAATAAGAGAGCTTATTTAGCTAAAAAATGTTGTTTTGGAGTTTTTTTTCCTCTTTTCTGCTGGTTCTATTCCACAACATGATTCATTGCACGGTCTTAAAAACAGGCAGGGCAACTTAAGCCACCATCATAGTGAGAAACCACCAAAATGGCAAATGATAGCCTTAGGATTTTATACCCATAACCTTTATTTTAAGTCTTTTTTTTAAACTTTTAGTCTTCAAATCTAGTCTTAATCTGGACAACTTTTAGTTGTGGTGTTTGTGTGGATGGTGGTAGTTTCACAGAGGTACTAAACACAGGGTTAAATCTCCAAAATATCTCTAAAATATTTCATCTAATGGAAATAAAGGAGAAAAAATACACTCCAAAGCCTGAGGAGCAAATAACGAGCTGTGAAATATTAGCTATTTTGGAGAAAATGAGTAAAAACTATAAATACATTATTTTAACACCTGAATTTGGGATGTTTGGGTCCTTCTCTGGTTGTTGTCAGAGGGAAGATTTTGCTCTGACCCAACTCGCTGCTGCTCACGTTTCGCCGTGGGGCTGGGAAGCTGATGAAGACGAGTAAATCTCGGTGGTTAAGGGGAATGAGATGACACTAAAAGAAGCAACACCCCCCAAAAAAAGTTGCATAATCACACAGCAGCGAAGAGAAATCTGCTGTGCTGGTTTCTGTGGGGTAGCAGTTATAGCAGGAACTCCACAAAAAGAGCGTAAATCCAAATTGCTTAATGCCAATTGTTACCCCAGAGCGGGGGGTGGTTTATTTCCCAAAGTAAAAATCCAAGTTGTCGACGACTCTCCGGTCTCCTGTCACCAACTTCAACCACAACAACTCATTTTCCACCCCCAAAAGTCCAGTTTCCCTCATGCCCACCCAACAAATCCTCCGATTCCACCACAACATGGTGGGTTTTCCAGGCGGATACGGATTTTTCCCGACGGATACGACATTTGTTTCCAATATGAACACGCCTTTTCCCACTTTGGAGATTGTTCTGGAGATGTTTTAAATAAATTCCCATGTGGTTTTGGGGATGTCCTCCTTCCCCCTCTTTGTTTTTCTTTTCTTCCATCTCTAAACTTTGTGGCCTTGCTAAATAAATTAGAAAGAAACAAACTTAAGGGAATGCTTGCTGAGAGCGTGGCTTCAATTTGAAAAGAGAATTTTCTTGCCCAGTTTGTTGGTTTGGGTTTTTTTTTAAAAAAAAAAAGTAGCCAAAAATAGCAGCCACACTTGCTGCTGGTATTTTAATGGAGGTTTTGGAGGAATCCGAGTCAGTCAGGCTAAGGCTGTTTTAGGCTTTACATTACCCAGGAATTTGTTTGTTTTGTAAACCCAAGTTCACTTCATTCCCTTCTCCTTTTCCAGACCCTGGTAAGTAATATAAACCTACACAAATCTAAAAAAGAACGGGACAGACCTAAGAACATCTGGTGTAACCTTAGCGAGGAGCTGCGCCGCTTTCCAAACGCTCTCGTTTTTAAACGCTGACTTTTTTCATGTCCTGGATAATCTCAGATGTGTCCAACCTGCCACCCCTTTCCCTCCCGGAATGCTGACGAGTCCTGCATCGACCAAACAGTCTTTTTTTTTTGTCTCACAGCCACTTTCAAACTACAAATATTATTATTAATATTTTTTTTTTCATACCAAGCAAAATAAATAGAAGGGAAGAGACCAGAACAAGATTTCTAGAAATGCCTTAATATTAAATTCCAGGTTCAGTCTGCCTGTAAACTCAGTTTATTCGCAGCATCAATTTTTCAAACCAAAATAGTCGAGTCGTGCGACTTTCAAAGCTGATGGAAATTACAGAAACTGAGGTAGGAGAATGTTCTCTTGTGTGCCCGGCCATGAAAAGTTCCTTGTATGACTGCGATTAAGTTAAAATTACCCCGTTTCTGTCGCAAACGTAGCTCTAGATTTCTTTTTTTGCTTCTCACGTGCGTTGCCGCTGTTTAATTTCTCGGAGATGTCCCTCCAGACATTGTGTTTCAGGTTTTTTCTCTTTAATACTGTGAAAAAAATCGAAAGAAATAACCCAAAAACCACTGTTCTGCTCTGAAAATAAAAAAAACCCCAACGCACTGGGCTCAGGTCTGTGCGGGCACTTCTCAAACTGGCTTTTTTTCAGCAGAGGTTGTTTGGAAATGAGGTTTTTAAATGATTTAATGTCCCCCCTACGCATTCACGTCATCTTCAAGATCTAACCAGGCTCCTCCCTTTCCACTTCCTTTAGAAACTACCAGGAAAACCAAAGCAACGGCTCCCACGGAGATGAAAACATCCCAGAGAGCTGAAAATGAGGGTGATTTTGGTGCAAAAACAACATTTTCAAGCTCACCCCCAACAAAATTCCATTGGGATACGACAACGGAAAAAACCTGGAACGTCGCCGCTCCTCCTGAAGCCCCCATCATCCTCAGCCCCCCTCAGACCTTGAAACCAGACGTGTACAACCTGGTGTGGCGGTCAGGGAGGGACGGGGGCTCACCCATCAACGCTTATTTCGTCAAATACCGCAAGGTAACTGCAGGTGGATTTTTTTTTTTAATTTTAATTTTAATTTTCTCAAGGAACCAGTAATTATCTCAGCGCTGGCCTTAACGAGGATGAGAGAATCTAGTTGAGCCACGACGTTACAACTTATTTTAGAGCTGAGTAAAGTTGGTCACAACTACACTGTTCTCTTTAGTTTTAATTAAGATTTATTCAGCAGAACCCAGGTTTTTATTTCCTTTACAGTATAATAAGGCTCCAGGGCACGTCGTACACAACTTCGGCGCCGTTAAAAATGAGCTTGTGTGAGCAAAGTTGAGTCTGGAGATCAGCAGGCAAACTATTAGCTTTGATATATCAAAGAATATCCTAATATATCAAAGATTTGTCTACTCTATGTCCCAGAAAGACACTTACTAAACTGAAATTACCCAATATAAAGGTAAAATCAAATTTCCTGAGCAGATATTTCTCACGTCCTCAAAAACGACGTCTCGATTCAAATCAGAACCAAGCGATGCCTGTGCCCGTTCTTCCGAGCAAACAGTTTTCTCTTTGGTTTGTTTATTTTTTTTTTCATAAGCTTTTTTTTTTTAATTATTTTTTTAAATTTTTTTTTAATCCTCTACATCCTGATCTTGTCTTCGCCTGCAGGGAACACTTAGATTTTTGACCTGTTAGTTCCTGAAAAAAAAAACCCTCCGTGCCAAAGACTGTTGATATAATTTCTCATCCAAAGGTGTTTGGTTCACAGAAGCACTTTGAATACTTGTTTGACCTTTTGGATGCTTCCCCCTGCGCTCAGAACAATCCTTTCCACATGAAATACGCTCACTCATGTGTTTCTCAGGAGGGAGTTCACCCTGTTTTGGTTTGTTTTGGGTTTGGTTTTTTTTTTTTAGGGTGGTGTTCTCTTTGTGTCATTACATTATTTTATTGATTTCCCTCTTTTTAAAGAGGAAAAAAAAATAATTGGGAGGAATAAAAGCCTTAAAGAGTGGCTGCTACAGAAGAAAATACTTGAACAAAGACCTCTGGCGTAACCTTTGCTAATCCACGGTGTTGAGATCTTCCTTCTCTGTTTTATTAAAGTCTTATATTGTTTAGTAGTTTATTTTTGGTAGAATCTTTGTCTTTTCCTTTGGGATTTGAGATAATGTTTTCCTGCAAAGGTCAAGTGTTAAGAGACTACCCTGAATCTCTTTCCTTTCTTAAGTGGAGCTGGTGATTTCACTGTTAAATTAAATTTTTATTTTATTTTATTTTATTTTATTAAAAAGGAAACATATTAAACATATTAATATTTTTTTTAAAAAAGGGAACGTGTTAATGTATTTTTTTTTAAAGGAAACTTGTTAATATTTTTTTTTTTCTAAAAAAAAGGAAACATGTTAATAAAAACCAAATCTTTGCTTTCCCTGACCCTCCTCCCTCCCTCCTTTTTTTTTTTCCAACCTTGAGAATTAACTCAGACATATTTTTTGTTCCTCATTTTCGCCAATAAATATTTTTTAAAATGCTGTAGTACAGGAAAAGCTGGGATAAGTTGAGGGAACATATCTTTCTCATTAGGGTGTTGGGTCCAGCCCTTTAATGTCACACACTCTGCCAGCAAAAAGCTGACTGAAGTCTTTAAAATTTAGTCTCTTTAAATAGTTTTAGTCACAAGTGAAAATAACCATTTTTTTTCCCCAAAAAGAAGTGGGGAAAATGGGGTTAGATGTTAAAATCTTATTTTTTTGAGAGCTAGACATGCAGGTAAAGCTATCCTTGGAAATATTCTATGTGGGGAAGTGTATGAAGAGGGAAAATGAGTTGGGTTTATCGAAGGAGCGCTGTGATTTTTACCTCCAAATCATAGGTAAATAAATCTTAGGTAAATAAAAGGAATTTGGGCAAGTGGCAGATGTCCTTTGGGTGCTTGTGTGCGAAACCATCGAGTGAGTTGAATATTTGGTTGAATTCTAAGCACTTCACTGCTGATATCGAACTTTTTCTCCCCATCCCGTGCAGCTGGATGATGGTGTCAGCGCGGTGGGAACCTGGCACACCGTCCGTGTCCCTGGCAGCGAGAACGAGCTGCGACTCACCGAGCTGGAACCTTCCAGCCTGTATGAAGTTTTGATGGTGGCCAGGAGCGCTGCTGGCGAAGGGCAGCCCGCGATGCTGACGTTTCGCACCAGCAAAGGTGGGTGCAGCACAATGTTCCCTGTGTCCTACACTTTGGAGAAGACGTTGATTTCATTTACATCAACTCTATGTTGTCTGCTGAGCCATATGTGAAACATTCTGCGATTTAATTGCTAAAGAACAGCCTCTGAGAACTAAAATAGCTCTGGGGCAAACTTGCCTCAGCGTTACCAAGGGCTTGTTGGTAAGAAAAAGCTATTAAAAACTTTGGAATATTATTTTTGAGATTATTATTAAGATTTATACTTTACATTTCCTCTTGCTCAAAGGAGCTAAGTCAGGGAGCAGCCTGTCCTCGTTCAGTTTTTTTCAGAGTATCACAAAAAAAACCTCTGGGCTGGATGATCTTAGAGATCTTTTCCAACCTTCATAATTGATTCTGTGATCAACTTTTCATATATTATTATTTCACATATCATGATTATTTCATATATCATGATTATTTTATATATCATGATTATTTTAAGGGGATTTTTAAAACTTCAATTATTAACTTGTTCTTCTCTCACCCTACAAGTCTCCTTACCCTCGCTCCTCCAATTCTCTCCCCTATTCCCTGTGAGGGGAGTGAGGGAGCAGCTGGGTTTGGCTGCTAACTCAGTGCAACCACCACAATTTTTCACCTCCTGTTGTGATTTCCTGAGGAGAGTGGACTCTGAAATCCAGGCAGGAGCTGGTGGCATCGCCCTGAAGTGCAGAACTGCAGATGGAAGGTCAATTAACCACAGCGCAAACATTCCTGAGCTGACGGGGGAAGTCTCCTCTCTTGCTCCCCTGAAGAAATTCCCAAATTTCTCTCCTGATTTGGAGCCAGAGCTTTAGTCCCCTGTGCTGCACCGAGCGATCTGGTAGAGCGAGATGCACCAAGCAGCATTTCCTTATCCAATACTTGATCTCACATACTGTCTTATCAAATCTTTCTTAGAAAGAACATCATCCTCAAAAAACACTCAGGCTCCATCTCCCCCGGTGGGAATTCCCAAACATCCCATTATTCACGAAGGGACAAATAATTTCGGTGTCGTCCTTCCAGACCTGTCTCGACACAGCGGAGGTAGGTGTCTGGATGGTTTGTAATCCATGTGCTATAGAAATTGTGTGGCAAACAGACACACATCCAAGTGAGCTCGTGTTTATTATCACTCCAGGTGCTTGTATCACCTCTTCTATTTCCTGTTGATTCTCTCAGCATCTTTTCAGACAGATATTTTTCCTCTCTTGCAGGATTTCTGTCAGTGAGGTCAGATATCTGCCAGATTTTCCCCTTCTTCTGTGTGTTTCCAGATTAAAAGATCCCAAAATTCATACTTGGGGATTAACCAAAAGGTTACCTTACTCCAATCAATGAGCTAGCATTTTAAGTACTCGCCTCCATACCTCAGATTTTCCACAGCAACATTAAATTACCGAGAAGTAGCGTGTTTCTTACAGACTTTGGCATCTGGGGTGGAATTTTTAAAGCTATGAATTTTAGCAAACTATGCCCTCATCTAGCAAACATAGAATATTTCCAAGGATACCGTTACCTGCATGTCTAAGCTCTCAAAAAATAAGATTTTTAACGTCTCACCCACGTTCTTGCTGCTCGTATTTAAACCTGCGTGCTGGTTTGTAGCTGGGACAGAGCTGGGTTTCTTTTTCGTGCTTGCCAAGTGAAACCACCACAACCTGCTGGTGCTTTTTTTTGCTCAATCCTCTGTTTTTTTTTTTCTTCCACTGTGAAAGATCCAGAGAAAGAGTAGAAATGGGAGATGCCCGTAGCAGAGTTGGAAGTTCTCAGGGTGGATTTTGTCTGTTCTGAATGTTTTTCCTTGTTTCTGATGACAAGAAGATACAACCATGTCCCAATAAATGTGATTTTCAGCCCAATTTCCAGCGAAAACAGCATGTTTATAATCCTTCTTCTCACCACCTCAGCCTTTGAGCTCCTTGACCTGATTCAGGCGAATTTATTCAAGGACTGAGACCTCAAATTTTGGGTGAACCCGAAGGGAAGTGGAGAGGTTTGTTAATGATGCAGGTGAGGAGTGTTGCACGCTTGGGACAGGACAAAATATTCAGAGGAACCACACAAGGGGACACCTTCATCCCCCCCAAAAGCTTCCAGCTTACTCATTTCCTCCTCCCATCAGTGACCAGCTCCACTATTAAATGAAATTAAGAATTACATTAAATTAAGAATTAAATTCAACAGAATTAGATTCAGTTCTAATTTAATTTTCTAAATTAGAATACCAGCCAATTTAGTAAAACCTCACAGCTCTCCGCAGATTTACTAACACCACCTCTCTCCTTTCTCTCTCCGTTCCACCGCTGTCTGTCACTTCAAGTGAGTTCAGTAAGTACCTCGTTGGTTGCATGCTTCCTCCTCCTCCTCCTCTTCTTCCTCGTTTCGTTAGCCACGCAGCTCTTGTTATGGGTTGAAGTCTCATCGGGTTTGGGGAAATTTCAGGGGTTTGGAAATTAGAACCAAGTTTTTCCTCTTCACTTAGTTTGTGTTTCTATTTCCACATAGAGATGGGTTGGGGTAGTGCAACACCGTATCCTTTTTTGATTATTCTTTTGATAAAATAATTGATTCCTCTATTTTTTTTTTTTGCTCTTCAAGCCTCTTTTCCAGAAGAATAAGGGGAGTCATTCTTACAGGAGGATTTCAGATTCTCCTCACTAAGTCTAATTGAATCATCAGCAACTAGTTTAATCGCTCGCTACAGAAAATAAAGCCCCAGCTGACTCGACTCCTCTTGTAACTTGAATTTCTCATTTCAGTTCCAGAAGCTCCCGACCGACCCACGATCTCCACAGCCTCGGAATCATCCGTCTACGTCACGTGGATCCCTCGAGCCAACGGTGGCTCCCCCATTACTGCCTTTAAAGTGGAATATAAACGCTTGGGTCGAAACAGTGACTGGCTCATTGCAGCTGATAACATTTCTCCTTCGAAATTATCCGTGGAAGTTCGTAACTTAGAGCCAGGTATTAAAAACAATCTTTCCTTCACCTTTTTTTTTGTTGTTTTTTGCCTAGATGACTGCCTTACCAGTCTACCAGTGAGAGAATATTGCAACTCTTTGGTTGTTTCATTTTAATTTCTGCATGGATCATCCCATTTCTGGTCAGTTATGGATATTTTTGTTTGGAATTAGGAATTCATTACATGAATTCAAGTTGATTTCTGACTTTCCAAGTGGAAAAAAAAAATTAAAAAAACCCACCAGAATTTAATACTTGTTCATGTGGAGTGGAGGGTTGCGTATTATTCTTATTTTTAATTTAATTGTCCTTTTAATAAGCACTTGGAATGCAAATAAGAGGAAAAAAATACATTAATGGAAAAACATCTGTCCTGATTTATCCCAGTGTCCAGCCCTGAAAGCTCAGGGGAGGAGTACAAGAATGAACGGATGGCGATAGGTATCCTTGAAGCGTCTTCTCCTTGCCCATCACTTTGCAGTTGAGGGATTTTCCTGAGCTGCTGGAGGCATTTCCATCTCTGTGGATTTGTCTTGAGTGACTTTTCCTCATCACTTCGAGAAGCTGTTTAATATTAGGCTGCCCAAGGAAGTTGTGGATGCCCCCTCCCTGGAAGTGTTCTCGGCCAGGCTGGATGAGGCTTTGAGCAACCTGGTCTAGTGGAAGGTGTCCCTGCTGCTGGCAGGGGGGTTGCAACTGGATGAGCTTTAAGGTCCCTTCCCACCCAAACCAGTCTATGATTCTATGATTTCCCGTGTCTGTGGCAACAAGTCCTACGGTTTTTCTCAGTGAACGTCGTGCAAAAAATGCTTCTGAATCTGTTTGATTCAGAGTCTTGTTTCGAGGGCTTGTTTTGCTGTCATGTCTTCTTCCTTTCACTTTTTTTTGTTGTTTTTTTCCCCCTTAAAAGGAGAAATGTATCGGTTCCGTGTGATTGCTGTCAACAATTACGGGGAGAGCCCACGCAGCGCTGCCTCTCGCCCTTACCAAGTCGCCGGCTTTACCAGCCGCTTTTCCAACCGCCCGATCGCGGGACCTCACATCGCTTACACCGAAGCCATCAGTGACACGCAGATCATGTTGAAATGGACGGTGGGTATCGTTATCTCCTGTTCTTCTCACAAGTCAAAGCCCAATTTTTTATTGATTTGGCTCTTTAAAAAAGTCAAGGGTTAAGAGCTGATGGCGGAGTTGGGAGTGGTGGTTTCACCTCCTGAGACTCAGATGATCTTTTTTTCCTAGAAGAGGGCTGAGATACTTCACTCTTGTGTGGCAGAATGGGGCCACATGCCTCTTGAGCCCTTTGCCCACCATTTCCAAACCTTTTTTCCTCCTGTTGGTTGTTCGCTCCCTTTTGTGCTGTCTCCCAACCTCCCTCCACCTCACTCTCTCCCCGTCCAGCTGCCTGGGCATGCATCGTACCCCCTCCTCGAGTTACACCAGATGTGAACCCCCCCCCCCCCCCCCCCCCCCTGCCACAAGCAGGGACACCTTCCTCTGTCCCAGGTTGCTCCAAGCCCCGTCCAACCTGGCTATTTGGACACTAAAGGCACCTCCAGTGAAAGGCCACAGCCACCCTCATCCACCTGCTTTGGCACAGACATACCAAGAGGCACCAGTGGGCTTAACTCTGTCCAAACCCTTCTCGGTGTCGTGAAGTTACGAGCGAGTTGGCTTCGTTTCCTGCGATTCCTGCAATCAATCCAGGCTGGGTTTCAAAACCCTCCGTCTTTCCTCACCATCCAACAGAGGTTTCATGTTAGAGAAACGTTTTTCCTTTTCCCCTCTGTTACCTCGGCTTTTGTAAACAACTGCTTTTAAAGTCCTTCTTGAAACCCACCAGAAATTCTTTGCTCTTGTTTTGAAATCTAACCCCCCTGGTTATACTTGGGAGGATTTAACGTGTAGAGTTCCTGGTGTTATAGTTTGCTCTGTTAGCTCAGCCTGAAGAGATGTTAAGGATAATAAACTTGAAATAACCTCTTGTTCCTCAGGAGGCTGCATAACTTAAAGTGAAATATTCTCGAGCTGAATTTTCACGTGCCTTTAACTCTTTCTGGAGTAAAAATGGTCTCAACTTTCCCATTTCCATTCAAATCCATCAGTTGACACGAGGGCCTTGCTTTGTAGCTGATTTTTCTTGAACCCCCTTTATTTTGGGGACGACCAATGTTTGTTTTTCTTTCACAATTCAACTCTTTCCATTCAGAATCCGCTTTTTCTTTACATTAATTGGAATCCACTTGCAAGAGCTCTGATGTAATACAATATATGCATAAATATATACATATATATATGGGTTTAAGATACGCGTAAAATGCACGCGTGTGTGGAAACATTAATCCAGATTAGAGGTTGTCACTTACTTTTTTCCTCAGATAATAAAGGATAAGACTATAAATATAATATACTAAGGCTATAAACACTAAAATGATCAAGAATGGAAATGGTGATAGGGGATTAAAGGTAAGGAAATTAATATTTTATCAACTCCAGTCAGCATCGTATCAACACAGAGTTGTTATTCAACATAACGTGATTCTTCAGCAGTCATTATTCAACATAACATGAAGCTCGCTGCTTCCACAAAGAAAGGGATTTCATCCCTCAAAAGCAAATCAGACACCTGCTTTTAATATTAAATCCAACCTCTGCTTTCTTGGTTTAAAGCAAAATATTCGTCAGCAATTTTCCTTTATTTTCTGGCAAATATGCTAAATAATAAAAGGAAAAATACTCTGGTCACTCAGCGCTTTATCTCTCCCTCCCGCATCCTCTCTCTGCACAATACGCTGATGTTCCTGCCCTCTGCATCTAGAAAACATCCCAGAGCAATTAGTAGGAGGAGCTAACGAAGCATCCACCATGAGCAAGCTGCAGCAGGTGACTAGACAATCACGCAAACCTTGCTTGCACAATGTTAATTAAAAAAAATAAATACATATTTCAAGGTGATAAGATATTCGGTGACTCAATCAAAATCTTTTTTTCTCTTAACGCAATCTTTTAAAAATTATTACTATTATTTATTTTTTAGTATATTACATCAAGCAACAACAACACACCCATCCAAGGATTTTATATCTATTACCGACCTACGGATAGCGACAACGACAGCGACTACAAGAGGGATATCGTGGAAGGTACGTGCGCTCAGGAACACGCCGGGGGCAGGCCGCGGTGTAGCCGCGTTGGCTGTGTTTATATCACATCCAAACTGCTTTTCCCAAACTAAACCTTGACAATATATTCCACACAAGTCACTATTTAAGTACGTCACGTCAAGTTCTGCCCACACATGAACTTCTTTCTTCCTTCTGAAGCCTCTTCAACGTCGAAACTTGAGAATTAAACACTGGCTCGGAGTTTTTATCTTCTTACGCTGCTGCAGAATCAGAACAGAGATGGATTTAAACTGGTTTAATGAGATTTAAATGAGATTTAACCCAGGCTAAGTGTGTCTGTGTTAGATTGTACTCATAACTAGCTGTTTTTTAAGATGATTTAGCCCAACATGGATGTTTTAAGCGAGGCAGTGCCTTCCCCTTCTCTCCTTTTGCCTTGTTTAATTGCTTATCCCGCTCTAAGAAAGTTACTTTTCACCTCAAGTGCTGTAGTCCGCTGCAAACACAGGTATGTTTGTGCTTCAGTTTACCTTTTAATCAAATTTTTATATATATATTTACTTTTTTTTATCCCCTGTGCATATTAGATCATCATTTTCCTGGAAGAAATTATTAGATAATGTCTATATTAGGCCAGAAAGTGGAAAACCTTTTCAAAAAATATTTTCCTTCATGTCCTTATTGCTTGGGCTGAGTTAAGCGTAATGATCTCATTCTGTCCCGATGACGTTCATTATTTTTTCCCCCCTCCTCCCTCTCATTTATTTCAGTTACAAGAGGAATGGGCCTTTATTTTGAAAGCTCTTCCCCCCCACCCCTGCTAGACAATACTCCACATAGTACTTTGAGGCGTGACATCAGCTTTTTACACACTGTAAAGCCAAGAGTTTCGGCGCGGAGGATTTGCTTTCGAGACCTTTACTCGAGTCTTACACCTTCATCTGCAAAGATACTTTAGTTTTTGCTGGGTAGAAACTCGTGTGTTTATAAATCTCATGCTCTGAGCAGTGAGTTGTTGAAGTGGGCTCCACTCTGCTGTGAAATTAACTTGTTTCTCTTATTTTTTTCTCCCTTCCAAGAGCTCCTATATGTGTGTGTGTGTAGTGAACTCTTTGTGGCAGTCTGAAACCATTAGCAGCTGCTCTGCTCTGCCAAAGTTTGGAACAGAAACTCATTTGGTGGAAATATTTAAACATTTCTTGTCTGCTTCTCCCCTAAATTAGCTTTTGAGGGAGGAGAGGAGAAAGCTCTTTTCAATTAAAAGTGTGATTGGAAGCATTTGATGTGAAATATGTAGAGAAACATGTGACTGAAGGTATTTTTGCCATAAATCACTTGTTCTTTACTTTTTTTTTCTTTTTTTTTTCTTTCCCCCCCCTCTCTCTCTGTTACCTTGGAATTAATCTGTCTGTTTTTTGACAGGGAATTTTATCTTGAAACGACTAGCATGAGTTGTGGAAAAAAGTGTTGTGATGCCTGTATTAGCTAAATACTCGCCCTAGGCTTTCCTTAGCGCTTCCTGTTAAGTCTTGTCTATCGAGACATCCAAAACTCTGCAGAAAACTTCTTTTTTTTTCTTTTTATAAATGCTGTTACAGGCAAAATCAGATTTTATTTAAAGAAAAAAACTTGACTCAGGTATCTCTTCAATATTTTTCATCAGTTTTAAGCCAAAACAAAGTAAAATCGACCCCCTCCTGCATCAATAATCTGAATTTTTCCCTTTTGAAAGTCCTGGAGATTGAATTTTAAATGTAAATGCAGTCTGATGTCAGTTGTTTAAATGTTTTCCCTCGCTAATGGTGCACGGAGAGGACAGTTAAAGTGCCTGTACTGATTCCAGTCCCACTAATGGTTTGAAGCAGGAAACCTAAAACCTGGTGTAGTAATTACTGAAAGGAATGCTTGGGGGTGGGGAACGCCGGGAAAACCAAGTATGAATCTTGGGAAAATGGGTGATTTTTAAGGGAAAAAGTGGTTCCAGTTTCAACCAGGACTTGTCTACCCTCACTCCTGAAACCCCTGAACTGGGATGAGATCGTCCTGGGTGCCCCCTACCCAGCTAAAAATTACACCTGGGCTTGGATCCCGGAGGAGTTAGAACAGAGTCACGGTGACAGCCCTCGCCAAGCTTTTTAATAGATATAGATATATTTTATTTTTTTATTAATGCTTAAATCAGTAGTTGGTATGACAGTTCCTTAGAAACAGTGGAAACAGTTCAAGGTGGTATTTTCCAAGAGGGATTAAGAGCGTTCAAACAGTTAATTAAACTCCCTTAAAAAAAAATAAATAAATAACTAAAAAAAATAAAAAGGGGGGTCACTGTTTATTAAAATTTGTCACAAGCCCGTGAAAGTAAAAAAAAATGAGAGTGATTTATATGGAAGTGCTCAGTACTTCAGGAGGGTGTCTAAATGAAATGCTGGCCAGGAGCCAGAGATGACAAAACCATCCTATTAGAGAAGATTCCTTGGCTTGGGATCCGTCTCCGCAGGGGCAGGCAACGCCGGAGACGGCTTCTGCCGTCTTCATTTGGTTTCCTTGTCTGTTTAATAAAATGCACATTAAATTATTTGTGGTTTCACGTTCAAATTGAGCAACCCAGATGGATCCTTCCTGTGAAAAACGGGCGGTACCTCCCATCTCTAGGGATCCTGCAGACTGGGAGAGGGTCTTATCGTAGGGAATTTTGTCCCCTGGCCCAAATTCAATACATTTTCTCTGCCAGTTTTCCCTTGTTATTTACCCTGACCATGGTAAATAGCTTCACTGGCCCCCATCAGCATTTCCCAGAAAATACAGTTTGTAAAATGCTGTGGCACATAAAAGTTTCATATGAAAGATACTCAGAAATTCTGTTGATTTTTTTTTTAATATACAGGTGCTGGAAATTTAGATGTCTGGTTTTTTGATTTAGTAGTTTTTGTGGAGAAAGATGGGGTTTTTTTAACAAAAAAAAATCAATTAAAAATACTCAGCAAACCCCAAAAGCTTCTTCTGAGAATGTATTTTGCAAGACAACACAAGTCTTATGATTTTAGAGAAATCCATAAATGGTGAATAATGTTTTATGCTAACAGGAAAAGCTGCAATACATTTTATAGATGGAAAAAACCCACATTTTATAAAGACCCCGCCACGTACACGTACCCAATTCTGGCTCATGTCACTAAATAACATGCAGTTGATTTATTTATTTTATTATTTTTCCCCCCCTATAGGTACAAAGCAATGGCACTTGATAAATCACCTGCAGCCAGAAACATCTTACGATATTAAAATGCAATGTTACAACGAAGGCGGCGAAAGCGAGTACAGCAACGTGATGATCTGCGAAACCAAAGGTGAGCACTGACGTTTGCAACTTTATTTTCTATTTTATTTTATTTCATTTTATTTCGTTTCATTTTATTTCATTTTATTTTATTTTGCTTTACTTTGCTTTATTTAATTTAATTTAATTTATTTATTTATTATTAATTTTTTTTTGTGGTGTAAAAAAGGCAGCTGCTCTAAAAACCCCCTCATTTTCTAAGAATGTTTTGGAGGATTTGTTTTGTCTTCCCAAGCTGGGATTGTTTGGAACATATGGAAACTGATACGTTGCACTCCTGAGAAAGTCTCTTAGCAAAGCTCTGTGGATTTCCCTGCCCTAAGAGATAATATTGTTGTTCTAGGCTGAGCTTTTTTTTAAAATTTAATCTATTTTTTATTATTTTATTTTTTTTCTGTGCTGATAGCCTTCTCCCTAGGAGACAACCATACTCTTGAAGATGACAGAATTGATTTGTACGTCTGTTTTATGTCTTCAGGGGGCTCGGTGACACGTTGTATAAGTGCAGACCGCAGCAATTGATGGTTCTGTTGGCTGCCTCCGTCGTTTAATCCCGCCTGCCTCTGGCACAAAGTTTGTACTGTTCTCTGGAAGTGTCAGATATGGCAGTCACATTTCGTTTTTGCAAAGAATTCCATGTCTCCTTTCATCTCGAAAAACCAAGTCAGGCTGTAAAAGGGGAAAATGGAGACAGTAAACTTCAAATGTTGCGCTAGGAAAACATGGTTTTAAAAAAAAAAAAAAAATTAAAAAAAAAAGCCCTCGAGGAGCGGAAGCATCAAAATTTAGTGGCAAAGCCTTTGAAAGAAGGGCTGAGAGCTGCAGAGTCTCAGGCTACGTGCACAATGGGTCTTCCTCCTGCAAGAAATACAACTTTCTTCCCTAATTTGAAAATTGGCGAGGAGTAATTTGTCATTCACACCGACTCTTCTTAAAAATACATCTCCTCCGGGCTTGCAAGGGGGGGATGATCCAGCTTATCTAACGTGGAGCTGCTTGTGTCTCTCTGACCTGCTTCATTCCCAAGCCAGGCACCAGTTTTTAGCCTCAAACAACATAAATCTGAGCTGAAAACTGATGTCAATTGAATTTCTGCCTTAAAGCAGCATCCTGTTTTCAATGCTTTTCCATCCAACTCTTCATATCTTAAATAATATGGTTTGGAAAACAAGGTGAGCAGGGTTCACATCAGATAAAAGTAGAGAAGCTGGCAGTGCTTAAGCGATAGAAATGCAACATTGTGGTTTTTTCTGACCTCAAAAGTGGAAAGATTTGGGTTCTTTCAGGTTGGGAACGAGCAGAGTTGGAGCCATACGTACATCGAGTTGCTCGTTAAACATTTGGAGTGACCTCAATGAGAGGGTTAGCAAGCTGGATAAAACTTATTTGCCTTGGAAAATAGTTATTACCCAATAGTAGCTGGCTTTCTCCTTCGAGGTTTTAATATCAACTTGGAACCTTTCTCTTTGAGGCATTAAGATTCCACCTCAGCACTAATTTTTTATTTCTTAATGCAAAAAAAAGAACCAACCCCATGTTTAGAAAACGCCTTTAGCGAACGGAACCACACTCATTTCTTCTTTCATCCAGTGAAACGCACGCCAGGAGCATCCGAATATCCAATGAAAGATCTGAGTACCCCACCAAATCCCCCTGACAGGGTTGGGGGAAGTGGAACTGGACCTTCCAGCGGCCCCGTTCGGAGCGGTGACATGTTGTACCTGATCGTGGGCTGCGTCCTCGGAGTCATGGTCCTTATTCTCATCGTCTTCATCGCCATGTGCCTCTGGAAGAACCGTCAGCAAAACACCATGCAGAGTGAGTTATTTCTGGGTTTGTTTTCATCTTAGGAGCCAACTGGTATTTATTTAGAGACCCAGGTGTGCTTTATGATGAAAATTTCTTTTTTTTTATATTTTAAGAGCAGCGATGTTTTTGTTTCTTTGCTCGCCGCGTTGCCGTCCGGTTCGTGCCTCAGTTTCACCCAAAGAACGGGTGTGTGAAATGCCTGGGCAAAATTTCTTCAGCTCTTTAAGCACCTGCGTAGGTTTTTTGCTGATTGCAGTGGCAGAACTTGTGTGTGATCAGAAATATTTGTCGAAATATAGAGAATTGAACCCCAGATCGCTCCTTCTCTCATGTGTATCTGGAAAGAAAAAGAACTTGGAGCACGTGGAGGATGAATCCCTTGTTACCTTTCAATCCCTTCACAGTAAAATGGGGTTTGTTGCCCAAATCTTTGAGAGTCTTGTGGTTAAGAAGGAAAACTTTGTCCATTTGCAAGTAGGATCCTTGAGTGCTGGAGCTGAAATTCACTTTGCAAGAAGGTGCTTTGTACCCACAAAACCGTTCTTGTGCTGGCAGAACCTCTTCATTAATCTTTTCTGTTCGTAACACAGAAATCAGCCTTGTGCCTTCCCCAGCCTGTGGTTATTTTTAAATGTCCTTCCTCTCCCACAACGAGAAACGAAACAAAACTTCTCCCAAGATAAGACAGAGTCTTCAGCTGCAGCCCTGGAGATATTTTCTGGGTGTAGTTCGTAGCAGATAGCAGAGGGTCAGCTGATGATACAAAAGTTGGATGCTGGTCGTAGCGACTGACGTCAACTGAATCCTTTCAGACCAACATTCCTGGTCTGTTCTCCAGGATGTGGCTGTTTCCCGTTTCTCTGCTATATACACTGAGCATTTGCATATTACAGTTAATTAATGAAAACTATAGAAAATAGAAAATAAGTTTCTTTTATTGCATAGAGCTACTCATTGAACTGGCTGGTGGGAAGAAGCCAGAGAGT